CCTGTTTCTGTGACAAAAATATAAATTACTTTACCATAATCAATGTTTCTTATTGCGCCAAAATGCATTCCTTGCAATATTGTATATATGAGCCGCGTCATGACAAAACCAACATAATGGGTTTGCGACCAGCATGGATCCAGACCACCCTGCGCATCCGCGCAGTCTGATCAGGATCCATGCTGTTCGCTTACAAACCCTATTACAAGTAGAGAAACTGAAAGCGAACAGCATGGATCCTGATCAGACTGCGCGGATGCGCAGGCTGGGATGGATCCATGCTGGTCGCAAACCCATTATGTTGGTTTTGTTATGACACGGCTCAATTATGTATAAACATACAAAAGCTCGACAGAGAACACGTGAATTTGATGATCTTATTGTTCAAGATGTCTCGAAAAGAAAATGCCTATGTTGCATTACATAACGTTTTATTATTTTCCTGCAATGATAGAAAAGATTTTTTCGCACTTGCTTGGCATTGTTATATTAAGTTTACTCCTTATCTCTTAATAGCAAAAATGCCATGTAAGAATTTTCTTTATAATGCACGGTACAAACATTGTAAACAACTAAACAGGAAACTGCTTATATAAATCAAAGCACTGAGAGCACGGTAAATCAATATCAAATATAGTTATTCTGTTTTCTCTATTTTACTGGAAAGGCATCTAGTAGGACATCATGTACAGGAACGGATCAGTCGGGACATCTCGGCTATTATCAATAATAACTTCTTAAGTTTGACGGAAAGGACCAAAAAGATGCGATTGAGGTACGGGTAAAAAATGTGTAGTAACGACTTAGTTTATACGAATTTATTTAACTTCGATTGTGCTTATTGAATCACTCTCAAATCCGTTCCTGGAACCAACCAGTACTAAATAAGTGTAAATCAAGTGTAAAGAATCTTGCTCACAGAAACAACGGCTCGGTCTTAACGGGGTTTCAGCCAACGCAGCCAGAAAGCCTCAGATCTTTAGTCCAACGTGTTAACCATTCGACTACGCCGCCGTAACGATTTGACTCCTGTGACACATATCAGTCCATTTAACAAGGTTGACGCCTCATTTATTCCGCTGCAGAATGATTGTCTTTCTGCCAGCACTTGCAAAGCCGACTTATAAGCAAACTTCATTTAAGGATATTAAAACACGTAAGCTTTAAGCCATTACCGCATGAGCATTTTGTGAAAAATGGCTGTTTTCATTGAAAAGTCTCCTATTACAAGTTCAAGTTGCTATAAAACTATAAAAACTGCTTCAATACTAATCAAACTTGGCACAAATGTTGACTGGACCATTGCCTTTGTAACAACATGCTCAGTCTTAAATTTCCTGTTACCATGGCAACTAGGGTACATCTTAAAATTGCAAAAAATCACTATTTTGCGTTGATTTTTTTCATCAAAATTGATTTCAAAGTGCTGCCACTTTTCAATGGATTGAGATAGAGTCAAAGGCTTTTCAGCGTTGGTTACACGTTACCTTGTGATCGACCTTGGGTCATTTTTAGGCTCTCACAAGTCCAAAAGTTTCTTGGCGATGAGGGGGACTACCGCCCCCCCTTCAAACCCCCCAAACAGAAGGGGGCACATCCCCCTTCTAGCAACCCTCTGATGTATCTTCTAGATGGGGGACGGCGCCGAAAAAGTGGTCACTTTTTTTAACAACATTTCTCAAACAAAAAAAAGTGTTGGGGGCCTAAATAAGGCATTTTTTCACCATTTGAGAAAGCAAAAAGGGGGGGGGGGGTGAAAAAGGCGTAGAAAGGCGTATATATCTGGTAATGGGTTAAAGCATTATGCATGCATAGATCACTGAAAAGGCCTTATCAACACCAAATTTTAACCGGCGTATTCTATTTCGTTCAATTTTATTTCCTTATAATGATCTAGAATAATATGTAATACTGTAATCATGGAAATCAATTCGACGAGAAATTAGAAAGATAAATCCACAGATGTGCGCATTGCTTGAAAAGACATGACGTAATTATCACCCAAAATGGACGTCACATTGAACATTTGTTATAAATATTATTTTGGATATACAGACAGCGCACATTCCTTATTTAAGAATGGTATGTTATACATCAAACAAAGCCTCTTGATTATTACTATGTGAAAATTATATGCCCGTGTTTGATGATATTAACGCTTTTAAATTTTAAAGTGTATCAAATATTATGAATCACTTTGTATGAACAAGTTAGAGGGTTTCCTGTGGGGAGAATTTTATTTAAACTTTAAGGATAACAGACCTTAAATACTTAAAAACATCTTCAAAGACACATAAACAAGTTGTGAAAATAGGAATAAAGTGACTAACAACAATTTTGATGTTGATACATATAGACGACTTATGTTTGGCCGTTGTTTCTTATTTGCATTGATCAATTGTTGTTTGCATGTATTCTATTTTTTAGCACATGTATGTTCTTATTATTGCACATCTAGGCTAATCACTTGATAAAAGATGTTAATATCAATGAAAATGTGATATTAATAAGGTTTCGGAGAACTTCAGATCTTTCAAACCTGAAGCGAACGTCTTCATGACCTGTACAGGAAACCTCGAGGAAAAGCCAGGGTATAATCAATGTTAGGGGAAGTAATCAAGATTAACTTCGAGCACATTATTTCAACACACTATTCTTTAATCTTTAATATATTTAAAATGAATGTTTTGTTTATGCATTTTTAGTGATTTTTTTGATGTTTTACATGTATCAAAATATCTATGAAATAATTATAAATCATTTTTAATAAAAGACTAATGATCAATCATGTACGGCTTACATATCACGTCTTCCTTCATGTACATATTAAAAACTCGTTTTCTCGTTTCACCAATTTCATTAAATATTTTGAGCGGCTTCGGAAAAAGTTTTTTTAATGACTCGAATTTGAAATAGATGATGGGAATGTGCTATCAACTAAGAATAACCGAAATTTATGCTTCGTTAATAAAATTTTTCTAAGAGACTAATGATACAATATTATACTAATTATTTGCATGTTGTAATTTTTTTTTTTACAAAACAAAGCAAGTTTTTTTAAAATGTAATTCGTTTTTACTAATCATAAGGTCTTCAAATTTCAATGCATTAGGATATCTATAACAATAAGTTTTTCTCTGTATTTATGAATATTGGCATTTTATTATTCATACATCTAAATTTAACAAAGCTGAAGACAGTTGCCAAGGAGGTATGATAAAATAATCTTCTAATACAAACTCTGATTTATAAAAACGGTAGTTTAAACATTTGCTGGAAGGGTGGACTTCATTGTTCCAACTTTGGATGAACCGATTTCGAAGTTTGAACTTAACAAGACTTTTGAAATTAAGCAGACTGGGTACAGATTGACTTAACCAATAATTTGATAAAAGTCCAAAGTATCTATATAAAATATTACAAATCTTATCATCTTTACCATTCAAAAGTTTACACCAGATTTCAGATTTTATTCAATACTCTCATGGTTCATTAGAACATTTGACAAAATTGTTAACATGTTACAACCGGAACACAAACATATATACATGAAAATATACATAAAACAGGAGAATGAGTGATTATTATATTTTACCAATAAAATAAAAAAGATATGATTAGATTTTCAATATTTACCGGAATTTATGCTTCAATAACAAAATTTGTAGGAGACTAATGATACAACACTATACTTATTACTTGCATGTTGTATTTATTTATTTTTTTAAAATAAAGCAAGTTTTTTTTTAATGTGACTCGTTTTTACTATTCATATAAGGATATCTATAAAAAAATACGGTTTAATAATTTTACGTCTACTATTAACAAAATGTGAACAATAAAAGAGATAGTGAAATTCATCACCCAGTTGGTTTGACTCACATAAAGTACATATACGTAAATTTCTCTCTATATTTAAGAATCTACCTTTCCCAATTGGCATTTTATGATTCATACATCTAAATTCTAACAAGGCTAAAGACAGTTGCCAAAGAAGTATGTTAAAATAAGTTTCGAATTCAAACTCTGATCTATATAAATGGTAATGAACTGATCTCGAAGTCTGAACTTAAATTGACTTTTGAAATTAAACGGACTAAGTACAGATTGACTGAACCAATAATTCGATAAACCAAGTTCGTCCAAAGTATCCTCCACGGTTATTCAGTTTTATATCTAATATATATACTGAGTATGCAGTCTTATATAAAATATTACAAATCTTATCATCTTTACCTCTTCTCCAAATCCCTCCAGATGCGTGCACGTCGCGGAGAAGGCACACGGCAGGTCAAGTCACATTAAGTACCAGAGATGATTGGTTGACATGTCGTGACTAACTCTGGAGGGTTGGCGTTAACAAGGGTCGTTTTTGTTATCGTTGGTCAGGCAGCTGATGTCGTCTCCTTCACCACCACTGAACGAAGAACAGGCTACCAGAAGATTCAGCATGAAAAAAACGTCCCCGATGTGACTATCATAGTGGACCGGCAAGGATGCTACACTATCGGACATATTGTTAATTCCGGCGCCGAGTATAAATAAACTCAAAAACAAACAAATCATCTTTACCATTCAAAAGCTTACACCAGTAGTTAATAATTCTTTTTATTTGCAAAGAGTAAATCCAAGTTCACCATATAACATTGGGAGTACTTTGCTTGAGCTTAAGTATAATTTTGTAAAATTTAAGCTGAAACTGATCAATACACTTTAATTTTTCTAATCCCCAAACTTCAGAGCCATAACAAAGAATAGGAACAATCATTTTGTTAAACAAGTGACAAGTGGATCTGTAGATTTACAGATAGTAACAATTTTCTAGTGTTTTGTTTGTTTGTTTGTTTTTTTCAGAAAGAGCATTGTTTTCTTCGCTTGATCAAAATTAACAAATTTACCATTTTCCATAAATTGAATAGATCTACCTAGATAAGAAAAATCATGTACTAATTCTAAGTTTTCATTAACAAAATAAAATTGAGGTGCATCTTCCATACGATTCCTGCTACCAAGACAGTTAATAATCTTTTCGCTCTTTGCTCTTCTTGTCGCTAAAAAAATCAGCATGGCGAACTTGCGAGACGAAATTTTGAAACTCACGAATCCAACGCCAGTTTTCAAAGATCTTGAGGACAATTCAGATGATGGTAATAAAAATGATTTCTAAACTAAATGATTGTGAGATGCCATCGGTTTTACATACGATCAACATATTTTTTTATTATTTATTCATTGTTGTCACATATTTTCGCGAGGATGTTATTTGCATATTTTTAATTTCTGCAAAAACGGTCTAATAACTTTATTAATTTCTTGAAGTTTGAATTTGTATCATTTTTAACGCCTAATAAATGGATTTTGTTTTAAATTTTTTTTATTTTTATTATTTATTAAAATATATATGCAGTTACAGTCTATTCTAGGAAGGGGGGGGGGGGGATTCATTCTTATTTTTGAGAATTCCCCCTATTTTTTCAGAATCAGGGGGAAAATTTTACAGAGAAAGAAGGAAAAGATTGTCAGATGTAATAAATTCTCACTTTTTGATAAAAATCCCCCGTTTTTCAATCCTAGAATAGACACTGTATATCATTATTTGCCTTCGTGATTTCCCATCAATTTGTGACCTGGTGGTGGTGTTGCCCAGAGCACATATCAGCCACCGCATTGTTCCTGGATGGGGTGTCAATCATTTTTAGCAGTACTAGTTGCCTTCATTCAAGCAAGGAACTGAGTACTTCTATACGTGTAGAGGTACAGTGCGAATGACTAGAAAGGATTTCATGATCAATCACAACTAAAGTGAACTGGGTCGTCTCAGAATCAAACCCAGGTCTCCCAATTCACAGTCCAATGCTCTACCTATTGAGCTAACCAGACGTCTACACCTATTCTTGACCTAGATAAATGTCAGGTATAAATACTCTTGTTAGGACATATGTTATACAAAAACTACACAAGTTTTTAGCCAGACTTCCCGAAATACGTCCGTCCGATGGACATGTCCGATAAATTATGATCCGGTCCGACGATTTTTTATTCCGGATCGGTCTAACTGTCCGGCTTTTATCGAAGCCGCATCTATACAAAATGGAGTCGCTAAAGGTGCCAAACCTGGGAAAAAATGAAAATCTACGTTATGGGAGTGCGCAGAACAGCAATAAAAGGATGAAAAGAATAGACCTGAGACAAAATTTAATGAAAAATGGAAGCAGGACCATGAATCGTTGGTGTATGACAGGGAGAGATTAAAATGCGCTGTATGGAATGTGCCGATTTATACGGAGAAAAAATTAAAACCAAAAAGTGTGTAGAAATACAAACACAAGTTTTTCCTTGATTTTGATCAATTTTATTTGGTCTGACAGATTTCATTTCGGTCCGACAGATTTTCATGGTTTGTCAGACCGAATGTCTTGACAGTTTTTTTTTAACTTTCGGGAAGTCTGTTTAGCTGACACTCGATCCTTAAGTTTATCCAATCAAAATGCATAATAGAACAGGTTTAAATATGTTTATCCTACAGTCCGTTTGATGACCTAATCACTTTATTGATCTTATATTGAATGTTGATGTAATAAATTTATCAAATACACATACAATCAAGCAAAAAAAAAATTCTCAAGATTTTGAAACAAATATTGATCAGATCTGACGTAAAATAACCAAGCTAGCATTTAGTGGGTGATTATAAGTCGTGATGACATCACAAGGCTAATAGGATTTCATGAGTCAACGTGTAGGCGATCAGCTTAAACTTAAAGACAGTTTTGATTCACATGTTCAGATGCTCTGTTCTTTGAACAGTTGTTTTAAGAAATAATTGAAAGTTTTATGAACTTTTAGATATTGAATTTATTTAACATTTTTTTAAAAATGAGCAAATTGTATAGTATTACCTGTGAAATGTGTTGTACATGTGCAATATTTCTGAATAAGAATTACGAATCAGCAAAAGAAAAGCATAAGTTTTAAGTTGTAAGCCCAATTATCCATTTTGACCATCCAGTGAAAAACTGAACATTGCATGAAGAAATGATTTCATTTGAATATTGTACATATGAGGCAGTGTTTTTTTTTCTTTATATAACTACAACCCTAAAACGGTACCATTCCCAATAGAAAAGAGACATTAAAATTCCCAATTTCCAATGTTAAATTCCCAAAATGGCTGTCCTAAATGCCCACAAGGCCAAGTGATTTTTCTAAAATCATTTAAATCCAACATATTCATATAAATCACCACTCAATAGTTCTATTTTGACAGTAGAAGCTGTTAGCTATCTTTATTCATGATGTCTAATCTCATTTGTAGCTGAAAAAATGCATTAAAAAAATTCCCAATTTTAGTTAAAATAACGCATTTTTTTCCCAATCAGTCTGGTACCGGCACCATTCCCAAAGTAGAGAAAAAAATGCTGTGAGGTGACTCGTGTACATGTATGTAGATGAAAGAAAATTTGTTTGTTTTAATTGTAAAATCAAGGTATATTTGCTTGTAAACACATGCTCTTATATTTTCTTTTGTGGCACTTATGAAAATATTACATCTCGTGTTCAACATACATGTGGATATATATTAATCTTACAAACAATTGTCCTCTATGAATTGCATGTAGTTCAATTTTTAATGAGTTTAAAGTTTTATACATTTTGTTATTGCAGATACAAATGCCAAGGTTGTAGATCATGATTTAGATCATTATGAAGAGATCACTCAGCCGAGTAAATTGAGACAGAAAACAGCAATAATACTTGCTGATACAGATAAGAAGTATGCAGGAAAGAAGACATCAAGGAAACATTTTAACACTGAACTTAGTGATGGTTAGATATATTAAATTTCTACAAATTTGGAGTGTTTTAAAAACTAACAAAAAACTGTATATATGCATTCTTAAATGCTAAACATAACATTGGTATTAGTTTTAAACCTTTGAAGTGAGCCTTTGTCAATTTTTTTCTTAAGTGAAGTTAAAATATTAAAATGTCATTTGCATGTATAAAGTAGTTTATTTCAATTTTACCTTTTTTTAAAAAAATCTTTGTTAAATGTTTTGCGTTTTTAATTCATTTGTGAAAAGCATGGGGAGATCATTTGCTTTGACTGACTTGCTTTGGAGTTGAAACTTTGAAGACATTTCGATTTTTTTCTGTTGTGGAAGCTATCCAGATAGTTTTCTGTGGGTGGGTAGATCATTTAGGGTGTTTGCTTATTCCTGAAATTACACACATTACAGAGGAGCTCGTGTTGAATTCAACCATCAACATAGTTTATAAAAATTTCTTTATGACTTCTGTTAACTGTAGTGAGTATGGTAGTTAACTATGGACTATAAATGAATAAAATATGTAATACATGTTTGACTGGTAAATTTTCATTTACATTTCAGACAGTGGAGAAGAATCTAAGGACAGTTTTAATGATGATAATGAAATGGGGTCAGATGATGGCAGTGGCCTGTCTGATGATGATAAGCTTGTTATAGATGATGATGTTGGTGATGAAGAAGATGATGATGATGATGATAGTAATGATGATGATGATAACAATAGTGGTGAAGAAGAGGCATTGATGACTGTAAATAAGTTCAACAAATTTGGAGCAAATGAATTTTCGTAAGTTTCATAAAAAACCATAATGCAGAATTTTTGCTGTGGCTTGTTTTAAGGATGCAGTGTAACTCCCACCCTTCTGGAAGTGAAAGTGGTTAGCCCTTGCCACAATTATATACCTAGTCTGACCAGTCTCTACAGTATACTGTTGGCTGACTGTTAGTGACTTTCAGTATTTATTTTGATATCCAATACTAGTAGTTCATAATGGACAGTTCCAAATGGAATGCTGGTCAAGACCATTTAAGAAATTCAGCAGGTACAGGCTTAGGTTGGACATTTTGCTTAATGCTAAATAAATTGTTTATCATATTGCCAGCATAATTTCTTAACTGCAGCAAGTAAACTGCATAATTCTTTCAAAACTCTGATGTATATCAATTAAATATTTTTGCCTCGCCATGACAAAACCAACATAATGGGTTTTCGACCAGCATGGATCCAGACCAGCCTGCACAACCGCCCAGTCTGATCAGGATCCATGCTGTTCGCTATCAGTTTCTCTATTTGTATTAGAGTTTGTAAGCGAACAGCATGGATCCTGATCAGACTGTGCGGATGCGCAGGCTGGTCTGGATCCATGCTGGTCTCAAACGCATTACGCTGGTTTTGTCGTGGCGCAGCTCATTTATTAAATTTTTTCAGGTTTAAAGATGATGGAGATTATTCTAAGTTTGCTGATGATGAAGAATTTGATGATGATGATGATAATGATGAGGATGAAAGTGATGATGATGACAGTGGAAAAGGTGATGAAGAAATGAGTGATGAAGATTTTGATGATGATAATGGTGATATTAATGATGATAAGGAATTGGATAGTGAAGGTCTGTTTAACATGAGATTTCAATAAATTTTGATAAGATAGGAATTTTAAATGGTCTTAAAACATTTTATATATTATGATAACATGTGTCACCATCACATTTGTAATTTGTTTAAGTTTTTGCGTGCAAGTTGTTATTTTCAAAACTACTGAAGGGAATGGGTTGAAACTTCACACACTTGTTCTCTGTGATTATCTAACATGATAGGCACAGGTCCCATAACTCTGACTTTGAGTGCCAGTAAACAGACATTTTCACCTAAAATGACCTGTTCGTAAATTTAGTAAAAAGTTCACAAATTGAGAATAGCCCCTTTAATGTTCGACCAATTTTACATGTTGCTTTACTTGATTGTACATTACCTGATGCATATTTTAACTACCATGTTTTCAGATGAAGGAATACAGAAATTCTCTTCAGCAGCGACAGATGAAGTAGCCAAGGGTCAAGCTGCTAAACATCAACTTGGTATGTCTCTATACACTGACTTACTTGATGTACATATATGTAGGCAAAAAAAAATTTCTTCTTACACCTAAAGTACATTTGAAATTGTTTACATATACTGTTGACTCCACTTATAACGAACTTGCTTATAACGAATAATCGTTAATAGTGAACTGAATCTGAAATCCCAGGCCGATTCCTTCTTTATTTTATATTAAATCACATCGCTTAAACAAATTTTTGGCTGTATCGAACAATTTTTTCAATCCCAAAACGGAGAAAAACACACAAATTTTCTTGGTTTAAACAAACTGTTATAATTGAAATATCAGGATTCACTGGATTAAAGATCAGTACATAAATACTGCTATCCGATAATCATTCAATCAAGTTATTGCACAGTAAAGTTATGGCTTCAGGGAATAAAGATTTTTATTAAATGTTCTCACAACATAATTTCCTACTTGTTTTTCGCAATCTCATTTAATAAATTACTGTGAAATCCCGATAATTACCAAATTATCGATTCTCTGTATGAATATTAACCAAACAATAACAAATAGCAAAATAATGCAAATAGTAAGCATTTTATAGACAAGTCCTACATGTCTAAATACAGGTACATACATGTAATATATTGTTATATAAAATGCCCCGCATAAAATTACTGCTACCATAAAAAAAACGATTACACCGGTGACAGGTATGTCTTTTTCACAGCGAATTTGCCCACTTAACAAGTCAGCATGTTTTTGCTACTTCCCTTTTAACAAACTTCAGATATAACAAACAATATTTAAATGTCCCATTGAATTTGTTATTAGCAGAGTCAACTGTAGTTCAATACTATGGTTTTTTTCTGTGTTTAACATTTGTGGTGGAAACCCTTTTAACAAGTGAAGTTGGTCAAAACTTTCTGACAAATGTTATTTCCTTTAAGTTAACACACAGGAGTGAAATACATGCTTGTTATATATGCTTGTTTTAACCTGATATTTTTCTTTTCACAATGTTTGGAATGTGGAAGATCAACTCGGCTGAGATATTTTTGAATAGAGAAAAAAGTTAAATTGGACAAAATAATATCTATGATATTTACATATTTTTAAGATTATTTTCAAAAATTGAGTTATTTTTAGCAGTTGTAAACACATATATTTAGTAATTTATCAGTTTACTACAGATGGTAAATAAAACAGTAATCTACCAGTACTACCAGTATTTAACTCAGATTATTATTTATAAATTTAACTAGGATTATGGGATACATTACTGGAGGGTAGAATTAAACTACAGAAGGCAGTATCTATTGTAAACCAGCTTCCACAGAAACAAACATGGTCACAATTTGAGCAGACGTCAGATATGTTTGAAGAGGAGGCCGGGAAAGGTAATTTAAAATAGACAACAACAGATGAACCTGTGGCATTTATTTTTAAATATTTATCTATTCTATTTCACTGAAAGACTATTACTTGACATGTTTTTAAATATGCAAGTGGTACCTTGATTCTGTAAAATATCATGAAAATTGTAAAAATAGTAAAAATTTTAAACATATTTTATATAGATTTTATATATTGTTATCACTGGTCTAAGTATTGGAATACTTTTAACATAAGAACTTAGGGCCTTTTGATAAAAATATTTGTCTAAATATGAAACATGCACAAGAGCCAGTATAAAGTCTCCCCTTTATAAAAAACCAAACAAAATTTTGCTTTCACAATGTTTCAAAATCCAAGATTGTGTACAAAATGGTCTTCAGTTCTTGGCTATTTATATCATGATGTTTATGAGGAATTGCAATATTAGTAAACTTATGAACTGTCATAATACTCTATTATGAACAATTGGTCTTTAAGTTTTTCTATATTTTGTCTTTCTCAGATAGCAAATCAATCTCATTAAAAGATTTATTAAGTTTATTATCCTCTTAAGAGGATATTATGACAGCAAGTTCTCTATCTTAATAGAAGCACTAACCTTTGTAAGATAGCTGCATTAATAGTCAAAAATGCAAATCTGAAAGGATACTAAAAAGGCAAAATTGAAAAAGTTGCTGGCTTGGTTTAATGGAGTCTGTTCATGGATAGAAGTGGAAAATGCAAGCTTCCAACCAAGCCCCCTGGCACTGACATTTAAATATGTAAAAGGTGAAATAATTTTCGAATTTGAAACATTTGTAGATGGGTTAATACAGCTGTAATCATGCAACCAATAAAGAGAAAAGATTCAAAGTTGGTAACCTCAGTCACTTGGCCGTAGAGGCTGCTCATACCAATGAAATGGCTGATGCAATGTTGTTACTTTTAAACTGTTGTTTAGATGTATTTTCTGTTGTGAAATAAACTGAAAGTGTTACATTAATCAGACATGTATATTGTTTGTTACAGCTCAACAAGCGTTAGGACACCTACTTGCTAGTCTTGTACATCTACAAGATCTGATGCTGCACCAAAATACAGAAACTAGACATATCCTTGATGGCAAACCAGACACTAATAAAAAGTAAAATTGTTTCTTACAACAGAATTTAGTTTAGTTCCAATTTTATCAAGACATTGTAATGCTTCCTGAAATGTTTCAGTGCTGTATTAATTTAGTTTCTAGTTTATGCTGACCTTCAATAACACTTAAGTTTTCAATAAAATTTAAAAAAAGGGTGATCCCTTGGAAGCATTAATCACAATTTACATGAAAGTTGTAGAGTCGATTTGATTGAGTCTGTTCATGAGAAAAGTGCAACATCCCTAACGTCCCCTAGCACTGGCTTGAGCAGTACTCAATTTTCAGTGCTGGAATAAATGATCCAAAAGGATTAGAAAATATTACAACACTTCCATTTATTGACTGATATCCTAGAGGTTTTGTTTTGTTGATACCTTCCATTAAATGCTGGAATTTGGTGGTTTTATTGTTAGTTGTATAAAGGTCACTTAGACTGAAAATAGTTTTCTCATTCAAAGGGCTAAGGCCATGTTTATAGACTATAGTAATTAAAGAATTTATGGCCAGAAAACCACAAGTCATTCAGGCTAGTGGTTGTCATCTATTAGCACAATTATGTTTTGACAAGCCCAAAACGTGAAAAGTTAGGTCAATAGAATAATGAGTTACACAGTTGGTTTGTAATACAATTTTCTACACAGAGGTACTACATTATATTTGAAATCCATTAGAATCTAAGGTTATTGACTGCTAAATTTTCACAGGCCAGTTGGCCTAGTTACTTTGAACATTAAATGAGCCTTACTGAAAATCAAACAGCCATTTCCCAAATGCTGTAGACTGTTTTTGTCCATCTACTTGTAATCCAAAAGATAGATATTACCTAAATGATAATTTCACTGGTTCTGTATTGAATGTAAGATAGTTGTTTTAAGATTTTAAAAGATATTATATGTTATACCTTAAGAGCATCTGACATTAATGATGATGATGATGAAGAAATACCAAGTGACACTGATGAAGAGATAGATAAAGAGGAAGCCAAGCCTGCATCATCTACAATAGTTAGAAAAAGAAAACTGAAGTTAGACGAGTATCCTGAAGTATTAAAGAAAAGACACACCAGTTTTACAGAATATAGGTAATGTCACAACAACTTTTTTTACAGGTAGAGAAAGAGACCCCACTCTTCCCTTAAGTTTTGGGAAAAATAATACAGTATTTTTGCAAAAGAGAAGAAAAAACTTGGGTGCAAATTGAACTTTTGGCAAAAGCTGCATGATTCGAAAGAATTGTCTTGAGGGGAAGTAGTCCTTCTATATAAGTAAAAGAGGCCCTCAGAATAAACATTGAAACTAGAAGTGAAGATGGTCTGGTATGAATGACAACATGAATGGTTAAAAAAGCTTGGTATTTGATGGCCCAATCAATGACCTGTTCAGCTTACTAGAAAACTTTTGTCATTTTACATATGTAGAATGTATTTTGAAAGAAATTATTAATAAATTGTTTTACATAGTATGCTAAAGCTCATATTCTCTGGCTAAGCTTATTATCAAGAGCATCAGATTTGGAATTGACTTATTTGATTCTCAAGCAAGGTGAATTTCTCTGTGACAATTGATTTAGTGACATTGTGTCATATGGTCATTTCTCTCTTACTGCTGATTCAGAAATCATGTGGGATTAGTAGTCGGTCACTTGCAGAGAAATTGGTATTTATTGGCTAGATATCAAGGAAGGCTCTTGATATTTGGCATACAGCATTAACTAGTGGTCCCATAACTTTGGATTCTATTTCATATCTGTCGCTCATCCATTTCCTGTTCACCGACTTAGATAAATTTTCGACATTAATGATCAATGGTAGGAAATTTTCGTAACAGTTTTCTCAGCAACTACCAATCACAGTCTCTTGATATTTGGCATACAACATTTACATGTGGTCCCATAATGTGGGATTCGATTTCAGATCTGTGGCTCATCCACTTCCTGTTTACTGACTTAGTTAAATTTTCGACATTAATGGTCAATGGTAAACTTTTTTATTTAACATCACATCCTCATGATATTTGGGATACAAATGCAACCCGGCCTTTTCTGTCTATGACCCATTTTATTAAAAATCACATTGTTAAATGAAACACTTATTGTTTCAAATCTGTTGACAATAACATATTTCATTAATATTACAGAAATTCTACCATACAGAAATGGTATGACAAGACAAGGCTAGCAGCTGGTAAAGTGAAGGGTAAATCATTTAGTGCATTCGATCAATCAGCTGTTGTACAGATTAATCAGGTTTGTATCTTTTTTATACATCACACAGTCGAAATAATGATTACATTGAATAACACAAAAATGGGTGAAAATTTTTTGGTGATGATAAGATATGAATTTTTGCTGTATTAAAAGTTTCTCAAACAGCTTACCTCCAGATTCAAGCTATTTTTTTCGGAAAGAATTTGAAGGAGAACAATTTGTCCAGTTAGCAAAAAAAGTAACTTAAGAAAGCACAGGGTATAACAAAAAAAACAGCACAAAATGAGTTAGGGACTTTCCCTGGAATCACTAATTTTGTAACTTAAAAGTTAGCCAAAACAGCAGTTAATTTGAATTATGATAATATCATTATTCATGCGGGTACAAAGATATTAATAGTTTATCTGCAGGAGAAATGATAAATAAATGATCATAACTAGATAACTGCAAAATTACTAAACTTTAGAATGATAGACAAATCAATCCACAAATAAAGTATTAATCTTTATAAACATTTACCAGAACGCAGTACTTATATAACTAAATGCAATAAAACATATTGCACAAAAATGACATTGAAATAATGAGAAATAAAAATATTTTTGCTTTTGTGAATTTTGTGATTTCACCAAGACTTGTAAAGAACATGTTAACACTTACATGGAATTTATTCAAGAACATTCATATTTTTTAATCTAAGAGGAACCAAGTTATAAATCAATTCATGATTCATCCAGTGAACAAACAGTAGGAAAAACGTTGATAGCTCTTAATTAAACATTTTTCTTCTACTTCAGTGTTATATACTGAAACAAAAAAGAAACTTTCTCCAAGTTTGAATGTAGATATGTTAGTACAGTTTTTCAATCCTTTTGAAACTCGATTTTTACGTTGAATAAACATATCGGGCTTTTATACGGGGATTAGCTGACCGGTTTTGCAAACAAAACGAGTTTTACAAGCTACTACATGTATATATGTATGTACATTTAAGTGGTACCCTTGAACAACTGGCACATACTTTGCGAAAGTTTCTTTTTTGGATCAGTATATTAAATTCCAAAAAACACATACTTCCTACCTTGTGGTTTCAGCATTAATGTATTTATGCATTTTATGTTTTCAAGCTTGTGATTTCATTATAAGTTTATTGTATTATTTTATGTATTTTCAGATTTTAGCTGATAAAGACAGATTGGTAAAGAGAACACAACTGAAGAGAACAGTATATAGAGTACTTGGTACCAAGCCTAAAGTTGACCAACCAGAGATCTTACCAGCTCCACAGGAAGTTAGTGAAGCTTTTATATGTTGTATAGAAGATGTTGTTTTTATCTTGACTGTACAGAATTGTAAACGTGGAAAGCACATTCTGTATCATCACACTTATAAACTTTTCCAAACAACCAATTGAGATATTACTTTCAGACATTTTACACAGGAGAACATTACTCTGTTATGAACTGAACAAAATGTTCTTGTTTTAATTTTGACCTTAAGTTAGGATTTTGTACAACTTTTTTTTTTCCACGGGCCATCCCTTCTTACCTTGAGATATTGGTTTGAAATATTGAAAATTCATTTATGACCTTGATGCCCATTAAGGCAATTATAGTTGACTTGTTTGACTTTTGCCCCATTTTACTTACAAAGTTTTGTTCTTATTCCATTTTCTAACCTGAAGAATAGTAGAGCTCTTGTAAAAAAACACATTAAAACAAGGAATTGCAATCATCTTTCAAGTCTATTGTATTACAAAGTTGGTGTTTAATCTTGTATGATTTACAACCTCATTTATACAAGTATACATGTTATTTTCAACTCTTAACGGTATTTTGTAGATAAAGCACACCGATTATACAAGCAAATTTATGTATAAAATCCTTCATTGTTACCATAACTCATACATGTATATGGGTTGTTACTTGAATGTATTTACCTCCCTTTACTGGCAACATACTTACAAAGCCATCTTTTAAAAATCTACATAAACATGAAAAGTAAATTCCACATACCACTGTAATTAATTTGTTTGGTTTGGTATATATAGAATTTATTTTAGTTTGATTTTGTAGGAAGCTATTAGCTTAAACATGTAGTTTCTGGAACTAACCAGTGTTAAAACTTAAAAGGCTCTTGCTCAAGGTAATAAGAGCTTGCCCACTGACAGGGTTTGAACCCATGCAGCCAACAATACTGAGAAGGGTTCATCACTTGACCACCCACCATTTGTTATAAATTCAGTCAAATGGTTTGTTATAAATGGCTATTTTTATGAATACTTTTAATGGACACACATTTATTTTTGTTATCTAGCACATTATGCCTAAAAAATGTGGTGTTTTTTAAAAATTCTTTAACAATGTTGAAAAAATGTAAGTATGTTTTAATGATGGATTTAGAGAATGTTAGTTGTGAACAACTGAAGAAAGTAGCACTGAACATGCAGTAATATCTCCAAAAGGTAGCAAAATGTAAACAAAGTAGTGTTTTGACTTCCCTACAAACTACTAATTAACTATAATAATACCGATTGCCAACAGAGCTTTAGTTGCAAAAGAAAGTCAATGTATGTAACAAATGAGTATTACTTTTAAAACTGTAACAAGATACTAAATATTAAAAGTTTTAGAGAAATTAGATTGGTGGCATCTCTGAGTCATAATGTGCCTTTAAAATTATAAATATTATAATGATTGTTTCAGGGAGATGAGAATGTTGTTAAGAAGGATCATGAGAAAGACATTGACATGGAGATATTTGATGATGATGACTTCTATCATCAGTTGTTGAGAGAGCTGATAGAGAAAAAAACTTCTGATGTCAGTGACCCTGTTGCCCTCAGCAGGTAAACATACTGTCTGTTTGGTTTTAAACTCATGTATTGATTCTCATTGATGATGAAAGGCACAAGCTTTTTTTAATTACATTTGTATGTACTTACTGGACTGGCTACTAAAAATTGTCACTGAACCAAGCAGAGCAGGTATCACAGAGTTGTCATTAGGACTAGAAAACACAATTTGTGATATGTAACAAAGTATCAAAAAATGACTGCCTCAAATTCAAACCAAACTGTCAAAGAAATTGTTTAAAGACAACGCTATTTCATGTTTAGATTAAAATGTTACTGAACTTTAAAAGATTGAAACCCATTTGAGTTAAACCGTTTGAACCCAGGAAGAAAAGATGCTATAATACTTTGGTTGAGTGACAGACAGATAGACACCTTAATCATAAGGACACAGCCCCCTTGATATCCCCAAAAAAGAAAATGATAAAAAAACTACTTAAAGGGTGTTTCCCAGCACTCCATTCTCCATTTGAGCCAAGTCTAACAAAACTTAATGCATTTGAGACCAGCATGGATCCAGACCAGCCTGCGCATCCACGCAGTCTGATCAGGATCCATGCTATTCGCTTACAAACCCTATTACAAGTAGAGAAACTGATAGCGAATAGCATGGATCCTGATCAGACTGTGGTGATGCGCAGGCTTGTCTGGATCCATGCTGGTCGCAAACGCACTATGTTGGTTTTGTTGTGACGCAGCTCATATGGATGTTCAGTTATTTTGTTAGCAAGTTGAAACTTAAATCACATACTTATTTTAAGTAATGTATTTATGATCTTACAGACAATGGTTAGAGATACAAAAAATGCGATCTAAGAACAAGAAAGCAGTGGACAATAAAGCTAGTAAAGGGAGAAAAGTCAGGTAAGCAGCTATCTTATCCCTTCAAGTAATTCTATGTAAGTCTTGGCTTGTTTGCTGGCTTAATTTTCAGACAAACTATATTGATCAAACTTTGAATGTGGCTTTACTATAATTTGCTGACTATTTTGTGATTGTAGTGAGAAATGGCCTCACCCTGCGGATCACTTATTTAACATAGACTTCTTATAGTAAAAATGCCTCAAAAATCTTCTTTGAAAAAAAAAAAAATACCAAGAGCTTAGATAGTTTGCATGAAGCATCAACTTCAATTAAGTAAATCTTGTACCTTGGGTACAAAATGACCCCACCCTGGGTGCCATTTATTTTACAAAGACTTGTATAGTAATTTAGCTAAAAAGACTTCTCTTTGGAAACTACAATGCCCAGAGCTTAGATATTTTAGTAGCAGTATCTAGTGGTCTTCTTCAAAAAGTTATATAATCATGCCCCTGGGGTCAAAATTGGCCCTGCCCAAGGGGTCACTTAATTTATACTGACTTAAACCTTTTATAGTAGTGTAACTCAGGTGACCATTCCCGGGCCATGATGTCACTCTTGATATTATTGTCATTTAGTTGACGAAGTATTCAAATTCAAAATCAAATGGTGTACAAATGTGCTTACTCTCATGCATAGTTCAGTCGAGGGAAAATATGATAAATTATAAATGAAAGAAATGCTGTATTATTCGTATTGCAGGTATGACGTACACAAGAAACTGGTAAACTTTATGGCTCCAGTAGATGATTGTAAATGGTCTCACGAAGCAAGGTGGGTGAAGTCTTGTTATAAATACATGATTAAATTCTTCATGTACTCAATTATAATCATAGCAGTTGAATTTACACTTGGAGAATTTAATGTTGGCCAGGCAACAGTATAGATTTTGCTCAGACTGTACACAATTTCAGACTGGCCTGTCTCTATAATGGTTGCATACATTACATTTATCACATTCTGTTTATGTAGACATTGTTCTTTAAAGGAATGCTTTCTTTTGGTGCATAGTAAATATACATACTAGTTCCTTGAAGTCATCAAATAGACAACAAATCATACGAAATACTATTTTTTTCATGACTTTTTTCTTTAAAAAATCTGCTTAACTGTTAAGGACAGTTCAAAGTTTAAAGATTATTAGTCCCCTACCGGTTTAACCGTCTGTCTGTCTATCTGTCTGTCTGTCAGTCTGTACGAACCCAGAGGTACTTGTGTGACTTGGAGAGCAATGGGTAACAGTAAATTCTCTTTGATCCTATTCATTCTGTTTTTACTTGTGTGTCTTTTTTAAAGCTTTGTGTGACTAAAAATGGCCAAAAAGATCAAAGGAAAAGTCACATAAGTACCATTTTGTGAGTACGTCCTTCATTCGGTCCGTCAACAAAACTGGATCCCGCGATAATGCAAAAAGTACTGAAAATATTTCTATGAAACTTGATATATAGATAAATGGCAGTATGGAGATTATGCATGTCTTTTTCTTTTCTTCCTATGTTGAAAATTCTGGTTGCTATGGCAACAAATAGACTGAAAATATGGCAAATTTTACACATAAACTTAATCCAGTGATAACTCAAAAAGTACTGAAAATATTTTCATGAAACTTCAAATATGGGTAGATGACAGTCTGGAAATTATACACATCTTTTCTTTTCTTCCTATGTTGAAAATTCTGGTTGCTATGGCAACAAATAGACTGAGTTTCAAGATTTCTGATTTGAAATTATCAGAATTACCTCCCATGAATTTAGAATTTTTATGAAAAAAATATTTTGTTTTTTTAATAACTTCTTTATTTCCTAATGAATCTACTTCAAACTTCATATATATGTTTCTTATTATCACTCAACATTAGTGAGAAGGTTAAATACTCTAGCAAGACTATTTCTAGAATTATGTCCCTCTTGAACATAGATTATTTTCGAGAAATTGGTATATTTTACTCCATCTTCTTCATTCCTTAAAGGATTTACTTTAAAATCCCACATCATAATAATATGACAAGGTTTATAAATCTAGACCCATATCTTAGAATTATCTCCCCCTTAAGCTTTGAATTTTTCTTATTCATTCTTTAACTTTCTTATTTCTTCATGGATTTTCTAAAAATTCAAAATAAACATTCATTATCAACACCTACATTATATTTTTGTTTTTAATTTTCCTCTTTGTTAGTTACTATACATTATAGTTAATGCTATATTTGAAAATTGTTATTTTTTTTTACTTATCTTCTTTGTGACTATATGGTATCTTTAAACTTAAAGTAAAACTCACATCAATGTTCATAAATCTAGCATCGTTATTTCAAGAGTTATCTCCTCTTTAAGAATTTTGTATTAAAATATGTTATCTTTTGGTAACAGGGATGTTTAAAAAATAACTTAAGAGTCTCCTTCAATCTGTCTGTCTGTCTGTTCATAAGAACTGTTTCCTGAGATCACTTTTAAAGATTTTTTCCAACAAATTTACTTAAAATAGAGAAAAGTTGAAACATTAGAGTCAATGTACCCGGTTCCTTACAGGACCCGGTCCCGCACACTTTCCCATTTTTCATTTTTTCTTGAAAATTCAAATGAATATATTCAGTTTTCATTTGTGTTTCACTGAACTGGCATGTTTTCAACAGGATATGACATAATTTGGGATCTTGCACCCTAGCCTCTCCCAGGAGAGTGCAGACGAAAATGTAAATTCATGTACGTGGCTGTGTAGGTCACACATAAAAACAACTTATTCAGCAAGTAAACCATGCTAATTTCTATTTTAATATTAAGATTATTATAAAATATATATTTGAAAAGAAATGTATGTTTTTGTTAATATGGCAAATTTGCTGTTAGTTATGAAATATATGCACATGAATTAACTTCTCCCAACTACCAAACGTCAAGTCATTTCTCCTTGATTCTTTTGTTAAAAATAATACCAAACTCTTAATCAAACAAATCATAACTAAATAGATGAAAAAACTTTCAATAATATTTTTTTATGTCTGTGTTCACTACCTACAAGTGGTAAAAACATATGTTTCCATTGCTATTACATGTTTCCTGTGTGCTAAGTATGCTTGGAAATAAATGTTTGTATACTGTAGTAAGAATGTGCATTAAATTTGTTTGAAGTCTTGAAAATTTGCAAAATTTTTTTATCTTATCTGAATTTAGAGATGTTAAAAAATTTATAAAACATGTTTAAGATGTAAAATAACCTTTCAGTATAAAAATGGCCTTGTGTACTGAACTGAGTCCACTATTTATTATATTTTGCCCATTCCTGTTGCTTAAAATCAAGTGCGCCTAGAAGTATGACCTACTTAAGATAGAAACGTTTTGGTAATCAGTTTTTATGGGCAATGGATGTAATTTTCAAAATAATATCAATTTTAAGAAGAATTTTAATTATAAAATAATTTTCTAATTTTTCCTTAAAAAAGTGTACGACACTGGGTACACTGACTCTAGTTATACTTATTCATCCTGAGAAAATTGGACCTTTGGATTATCTGTTGTATAAACATAATTTCCTTACTAGGCAGGGAAACTTAACACATTACTATGATATAAACAAACTTAGAACTCAAAAGATTTAAGTTCATTTATGTCATTCATTCACTGGTAAAATTGAATGGCTAATGGCCCATCAGAATGTTGTTGGTGTTCTAATCGGTAGGGGACTTATGGATTGCTTGCAATACTTTGATAAATGCTTGTTTTCTCAAACAATTAGATCATTGTTGGTTTCACTAACTTCTAAGTAGAATTGACTTTTTCTTAATGTCTTTGAATTAAGTTTGGTTAAAAAAAATCCTAAATTTGACTTTCTTTAGTTGAAGAAAAACCTCACAACTTTAATGTATAGAAATATATTGACTGAAAGCTGCATGCCTGCAGATGAGCCAAAATATTTCAAGAAAATCAATATGGAGAAAAATGTACTAAAATTTTAAGAAAAGTAAAAACATTCAAGATCCAAGTTATATTTTACATGTTATGTGCGGTTTAAGACTGATTTTGCAGTATTGTATCACCATATTTCTACTGCATTACTAATGCACTAAGGGCTGTGTTTGCATATATTGACCACTTTTTGGTAATTTTCTTGGGTTGTAAGAGCTGATTGCAATATGTAAATTACTTTATTTATTCACCTCACAATATTTTACATTTAAATACATTTCATAAATTTTCATGAAAGTTAACATGAAACTGGAGGAGTGCTGCTTTAAAGACCATAATTATGTGTTTTTTACTGTCTAAAATTATTGATTTTGTATTTTCTTTTTGTTTTATCACATCAGATACAATAATTGTTATGTTTGTTTGTGTTTCAGGGATGATCTTTTCAAGTCCTTGTTTGGGAAGAGATTTTCAGGAATACAGCTTTGATAATGTCCTATAATATTAAACTAAAATTATTGATTATTATTGTTTGATTTGTACAGTACATGAATGATTTAATGAATAAATACATTATGTATATAATTTTGTCATTTCTGGTGTTTTTCAACTACATGTTCATTATCTGTTGCAGCAAAATTACAGTGATATCAATAGTTGCTTTCCCTGTAATGATTAGAGAGATAATCTGAATGTTTTACCTTTTCCTTTATGAATGTGTATAAAGATCTTGTCCTGATTTGGAATAATCAATTAGTAGTGAAACATTTAGCCTGTATCGTCTGTATGTACCAATGCAGATCAAGACTAGTCGGCACATACGTTTGTTCATGGTCTGCACTGTCAGCTATCCGGTCAGTACTTGAAATTTTCCCTGGAGATGTTGAATGGTTTTGTCCCGATGAAAAGATGGGCAAGTCCATTTAAGATATTTAGCATGGTAAGGGTTTGGAGACTTTGATATGAAAATGCATGAATAAAGCAGCCAATAACAGAACCCGGTCAGACTGAATAGACAACATACTGTTTTAACCAGTTAGTCTTGCAGCATGGAATGGTTTGAATTACTTATGATATTGTGATAAAAGTATAGTGTAGAGATAATGAATAGAAAGATCTTGTCAAGGTACTTAATTGACTTCCATTTTCCATGACTTATCTCCCCTTAAAACTGGTTAAGGTGCATTGTATTTATGCAAGTAAGATAAATGTCTATGACATTATCCAATATATGATTGTTTCAGATAACATTACTGCAGCATTCTTTTTCCTTAGTTTTCTATTTTATTCACTGATTATGACTGCAACATTTTTAGCTCGACTTTTTTTTTTTTTTTTTTAAAAGTAGAGGTATTGTTATAGTCAGGTCGGCGTTGCCGTTGCCGTTCCCGTCTGCAAACTTGTACCTGGATCATAACTTTTTTATTTCTTGGTGTATTGTCTTCATACTTGGCTACAACAACCCTTGGGACAAGACCTTTCAGTAGACCACACTAACCTTGACCTTCATCCATAAATGACCTTGACCTTCAAGGTTAAAAGTCCAATTTTTGCTTGTTCATGCTGTTATTGGCTGTAACTTTGTTATTTTTGAATGGATTGTCTTCAAACTTGAACATAATAATCTTCAAGGATATCCCTTAAAAATAACCCGCCAGACCTTGACCTTCACTCATAAATGACCTTGACTTTGAAGGTCAAATTATTGAAATTTTCATTTTTTTGGCTATTATTGGCTGTAACTTTGTTATTTTTGAATGGATTGTCTTCAAACTTGAACATAATAATCTTCAGAGATATCCCTTAAAAATAACTAGACAGACCTTGACCTTCACTCATAAATGACCTTGACTTTGAAGGTCAAATTATTGAAATTTTCATTTTTTGGCTATTATTAGCTGTAACTTTATTATTTTTGAATGGATTGTCTTGAAACTTGAACATAATAATCTTCAAAGATAACTGTTAAAAATATACCGAAAGACCTTGACCTTCACTCATTAATGACATTGTCTTTGAAGGTCAAATTATTGAAATTTTCATTGTTTTGGCGGTAACTGACTGTAACTTTGCTATTATTGAAGGGATCAACTTCATATTATAACAGAACATTCTTAAGGACCAGACCTCGTTGTTTATCAAACCCAAATTTGCTTGGGCTCTTTAATGACCTTGACCTTGAAGGTTAAATTACTGAATTTTCTCAGATTTGTGCATTAAATGACCATAATTATATATTTATTGGTGTGTGTGTGTGTGTGTATATATATATATTTACAACAACAACAACAACAAGAATTGCGTCATTGTTTCTATTTATAGAATTGCGTCATTGTTTCTATTTTTAGAAATTGCGTCATTGTTGCTATTTTTAAAAATTGTGTCATTGTTGCTATTTTTAGAAATTGCGTCATTGTTTCTATTTTTAGGAATTGCGTCATTGTTATGCATCATTGTTTCTATTTTTAGGAATTGCGTCATAGTTTCTATTTTTAGAAATTGCGTCATTGTTTCTTATTTTTAGAAATTGCGTCATAGTTTCTATTTTTAGAAATTGCGTCATTGTTGCTATTTTTAGAAATTGCGTCATTGTTGCTATTTTTAGAAATTGCGTCCTAGTTTCTATTTTTTGAAATTGCGTCATTGTTTCTATTTTTAGAAATTGCGTCATTGTTTCTATTTTTAGAAATTGCGTCATTGTTGCTATTTTTAGAAATTGCGTCATTGTTTCTATTTTTAGAAATTGCGTCATTGTTTCTATTTTTAGAAATTGAGTCATTGTTGCTATTTTTAGAAATTGCGTCATTGTTTCTATTTTTAGAAATTGCGTCATTGTTGCTATTTATAGAAATTGCGTCATTGTTGCTATTTTTAGAAATTGCGTCACTGTTTATATTTTTAGAAATTGTGTCATTGTTTCTATTTTTAGAAATTGCGTCATTGTTGCTATTTATAGAAATTGCGTCATTGTTGCTATTTTTAGAAATTGCGTCATTGTTTCTATTTTTAGAAATTGCGTCATGTTGCTATTTTTAGAAATTGCGTAATGTTGCTATTTTTAGAAATTGCGTAATGTTTCTATTCATATATATATACAAAATATATAAACAAAACTAATGTGACAAGACAGACCAACTAAATTTATAAAAAGGAAACGCTAAGATATGTTCAAACCTTTCTATGTTTGCGTTTAGAAAAAGTAAAAAGTCGAGCGTTGCCCCCGCCCGGCGGTGGCTCTTGTTATTCCCAAGTTATAAAAGGGTAAGGCTAACCTTATTACCAGGTTGGTATATCTAAAGTTCTACTAGTCGTTGTTTCTATGAGCAAGAACCTTTACACTAATTGCTTTGAACTGGTTTGTTTCAAGGACAGATTCGAGTGTTTGAAGAAGCTTATGGCTTCCAACACGGTTTTAGTTTATAAACTAGTGGCTCCATATTGTACACCCTTATTTTTTGATCAGAGATTAGTTATTAGGTCTATCATTACCTGGTGATCTGCTAATGTTACTTAAGCCGTAACAGGGACCTGGGTCATAACTGGGTCCAGCTGTATTGTGACAGTTTACATTGGAAAACATTTAAATCTTGTGGAAAACTGCCATTGCCTAGTGAATATCAACAAATTTTGAATAAATAAATCCCTGGGATCAACATCGTTGTCATACTTTGGGGCGACATCTAAATCTTTTGTCCTTGGACTTAGATATTTGGCGTATAGCATTGAATATGCCTCGCCTACAAATAGCACTGATAAACAAGCGAAACAGACTATTTAAAACTTGAGATTGAAAAAAAACTTGCTATAAAAACCTGTTATATAAACGAGAACATTCAGCATGCGCCTGCTGGCTGCTACCCTAAATGACAGCAAATCGCTTATCTACGGTGTCCTGAGCGTGCCACGACAATGCGAAATGAAATCGCGACGACAAAAATATACATTTTCTTTCTGTTTTAAAGACAGTGCAATATTTTGTTTGACATTGTCCCCAGACACTTTGCGTTTATGTAGTAATATTTATCTGGCTGTATTGTAACTATACTTAGAAGTAATTAAGGCTACTTCCTGTAATCACTTACATGTTAAATAATTATCATATGTTCATGCGCTCACATATTGTTGTAATTGTACATAGTTCATCCTCTTGTATATGCTCATATTATGCTTACTTGTTTTCAGTGAGTTTAATCATTCATGTCTTTTTTTTGTATTTGTCATGTGTAATATGTATATATGTTAATTGTATCATGTAACAAGAAACATAACTTGTTTACGTTACTTAATAAAGAATCTTGAATCTTGAATCTTGTATTCAAATTGACATCAAGTTATCCGTAATATAACACGTACTGTCTTGCTAACGATTTAAATAATTCATGAAATTCTTAAAGCGTTAATGTAATAATCAATATTACCCTGCAAAGTGGAAAAGATATACCTTACACCCCTTGTGTATATAATGTGCAAGTCGATATAAATAATCTTAATAAAGTTTAAACGACTTTAAATTTGTATATTGTATTGTAACCATAAAATAACAGAGTTTTATAGCGTTGTACTTCATCCGTGACACACATCACATCTACAATGTAATATGCGATTTAAAAATGCATCTAAATAATTTTCAGAAAAAAGTCAATACCTACCTATATAGTTAAAGTAGACTTCACCGATGATAGTTTTACGCATGCGCAAAGAAACACGGAGGGCGGATGAATTAAAGCATTTTCATACATCATAATTGTGTGTATATTTAAAAAAAATAGGATTTCTCTTTTCTCAAGTGCTTTGTGTGATAATTTTGGTTTCATAAAATTGTTTATTGTGGAAACAAAACGAAAGGCTGTTCAAATTATTAGTATAAACTAAAGTAAGTGACTTTTTACACATACTAAACAGTAGTGTTTTCTCCACCAACTAGTTACGATTCATTTCCTCCATTAAAATATTTATATATGTCCCTGAATTAAACTGAACTTACTCTCGTATTATTGGTTGTATATCACCATACATAATGTTTTTTTTCTTCTTTAACAACAATTTTCATAATATCGATGTTGTGTTATAAACTTTTACATTAGTTGGTTAATGTTAATTAATGCGATATCTGCATGTTTGCAGCTATGAAATGCATTGATTCAAGCTGCATACAGTATTTGAACATTTCGTTAATCTATTCTAATTTATACTAATAGGCAGGGGAACAAGAAAAACCAGAAACACTATCAATTAAAATCAAGAAAATGGAAAATTTAGATGGAAATGTTGACATTGTTACAACATCATCAGAGGAATATGTTCCTAATATTTGCGAACATTGTGACAGTGATGGAAAGCGCGCTGAAGCCGACGGGTTTTGTGTTGATTGCAGTGAATATTTGTGTAATTGCTGTTTGTTGTACCATACGAAGTATAAACCTGAACATTCAACTAAAAGAAAGGATGAAATGCCCCTGGATGTACGTTTTGAGAAATGTTTGAAGCATCACATGAAACAAATGAAGTATTTTTGCACGGAATGTAATAACTTCGCATGCGCAGAATGTATAACAAACGAAGGTTGTAATCACGAAGACGGATGTCGAAATAAAACATGGACATCTCTTTACAAAGTTGCTTGGGAAAACAAGGTATCGAAAACACAAGTTGACACGAAACTTGCTGAAGCAACTGATAAACTGGCAAACATTGAAGACACAATCGATAAATTAACGACAAAAAGGAAAGATAAAATTCGAGAATCTATAAAACAACACAGACAAAACTTGGAAAGTAAGATCAAAGAGCTTGAATGTCATTTCCTAAAGAAAAGTGATGAGATTGAAAACACTTTTAAACCTTCGATAGATTCTCTGTCGTGCAACGTTCAATCTATGAAAACTATGTTACGTTCTGTGGAGTCTCAATCGGACAACTGTTGCTCAAACTTTACTGCCGTCAAAAACATAGACCGGATCATTGCTCCAGTCGAGAAGGGTCTTGAATGCTTAAAGAATCAAACTGAGCTTATGAAATACGAATTCAAAGCAAACAAAGGCCGCATAGTTGACAAATCTGACTTTGGAAACATATTGTTCTCAGAAACTTTCCTGACAAAAACAGCTTGTTATAAGCATGATATTGATGTTGATCTGTCTTATTTATGGTTAAGTCCTACAAACATGAGTCATTTATTAATCAAAGATGATTGCATCGTTGTTGTAGCATACATGCGTAATGCGATTGTGTTGGTTGACCCAATCCGGCGAAATGTTTTATCAAAATTATTTATGTCATCAAGTCCAATGAGTGCAGTATCCATTAATGGGACTAGAGTAGCAGTATCTTTCCCACTTGATGGCAAAATCAAATTCTTTGACATTATGAACTCAGAATTTGTCGATAGAAAGGAAGACATTGAAGTCGGAAAGGATTGCTACAGTCTGGCGTACAGCAAAAGTCAATGTTGTTTGTATGTGTCACATAATGAACCTACAAGCAAAATTACAATACTCAATAAAAGTGGTAAAGTAGTTAGATTACTGGATAGAGACTATTTTGGAAACAAGTTGTTTACGGATCCGAGAAGTATAATTCTAAGCTTGGACGAAGAATCGCTCTATGTTTCTGATGCACATAGAAATGTGGTGATCAAAATACATTCCGATGGTAGAATTGGAGCTGTGTTTAAGGACAAGGAACTAAATAGCCCCAGAGGATTAGCGATAGATGAACATGGAACGGTTTTTGTTGCTGGCAGGAAGTCAAACAATATTTTTCAATTAACCTCGGACTTGACAAAAATAGGAATCCTAGTTGGATCGAAAGATGTATATGGGCCTTTGAGTATCGCAATTGATAAGCATACAGGGAAAGAATGTTTATACGTGGGTATGGTAGATAATACTAAAATCAAAACATTCGAAATCAGATGCATGAAACAAACTATACTTTAAGCAAAAATCAAAGATATAGGTCTAGTATTATGGTTTGCTGACATCGTCTTTTAACGGACATGTGTTATGAGTCAACTTTGTTTTTGTAAATTACCTTAAGCACCATTTTAGTATACACTTATGGTCTGGTAAAACCTGAGCGAAACAAATTAAATGGCATGTCACACTGTCACATGTGGCATGTGTGTACGTGCAAAAGTGGTAACTTGTTTAATGTTTGATGTAGAAGCACAAGTTTTATAATATTTGTTTAAAGTGACACTATATGAGAGAATAGTTAAACATTCAATAATATTAACACCTTTTAGTAAACAAAAATATCAAAGACTACTGATTAGTAGGGACATACTCTATAATGTCCTATTTATGGAGTAAGTATCTTTCTAAGCTTTCTTATTTAAGTGAATATATTGCATCTTTTTTGACCGTGTTTTTGTAGACTGCTATGGACTTAAAAACTTATTTACAATCTTTTCTCCTATTTTGAGAATTTTCGTTTAAAGAATTTTGAACGACCACATTGAAATTAATTGTAAATATATAAATTAAATGTCTTATTTTAACTTCCTTGAGCCTTTAAAGGCAACTACCCGTATTTACAAGTTGCTCCAGAAAAGGACTCAAATGATTAGAAATAATTTATTTTTCCACGGTCATGTTATATGCTATTGATAATACTTGAAGGAATTGTTGGACAACAAATGTTTAATTACTTTTATTTGGATATGCATGGATTTCACAAACTGTGATTAAAAATGTTTAAAAATTTATTGAAAATTGTCGTACTCAGAACCAACATGATAATGTTAATTTATGCCCGTCGCGTTTCTCATAAGTAAATACCAAGAGTTTGTGAAGCTTGAAAGACACAAAAATAAAACAACGCAATTGCATAAGTTGTATATGGACTTTTATTTTAAGCCGATAAATGGATAACATTTTACATGTACATTTTTTATGTCTTAACTAATAACTTAAGTCGCGCCGACTTATATTATAACCAATTTGAGAGTTTGCTTTTTGTCTATTTAAAAGCCATTAAAACATTAAATTGCTTAATCAAAGTTCAGATGTTCAACATAGAGATAGGCAGACATTTAAATATTTCACACAATGATCGTTTATGTGCTACTTGCTTAGAAAGGAACATTAGATGTATAGAATGTGAATATCATGCATTTGCAACTGTTGTAAATATACCGATGTTAGAAATGTATATCTATTTAGCTGGTATAATTCTGGAACTAGTGTAGAAAACTTCTGTTATTTGTTATCAGTTATCCACCTATATCAATCATCGTTTGGAATGTATTAAAAGTAGTAGATAACGTCATACACTCGTAAATATTAAATTTTTATTAATATTATATTGACATAACCATATAAAAATGCTGTTTTTATTGTTTGATATATATTTTGGACCAGAAGCCTTAAATTATGAAAGAAAAAGTTGAGTCTTATATTTAAAGATATACTATGCTCATCGTTGAGTAAAATATGTGAATCGCAGAAAATTATTGATATCTGTGAAATTCTTTCTATTTGTCTAATTTGAATAAAACAACGAATAAACTATGTATGGGAAGCTGCGTTCCCTTTTACATGTCAAGAAAAGTTGGTCTTTTCTTAACCAAAAAAAAAATCGCAGATTTTTAATAACAGTTATAATACTATAATTTCATATTGTGACCACCTATTAGTGTGTATAATTTTAAAATTTCTACTTTGTGTGAAGTCGATAATGTTTATTTAATATTCACAAAGAGACAGTGTAGCAATTACTAATATTTTCTAATATCAGATTTGAGTATAGTCTGTAGTATTGTTGTGCTTACGTATGAAGAAAAGTCCATGCATAAATAACACAGTTATATTTCATTATCGCACAAATCAAGCAAAATTCAATCATTTTGGCCTTCAAGTTCTGAGTCATTGATGATTGAAGGCACAAATCAATTTGATCTACCTAAAGCTCTTTTCCAAAAGATTATTTAATCCAGTTATGAAGATACTCCATTTATAAATTACAAAGTTATAGCCAATTGCAAAATTCAAAACTTTGACATTGAGTGATTTACAATTCAAATTGACAAAGGGTACTTATTCATATTGGATTTTGGTTACGAAAAATGATCCTTTGTTCAAAATAAGATAAATAAACGGCCCCCTGAGTAGCCTTTAAGGTGAAACTATAGAACATATCTTTTGGGAATGTATTCACAGCAATAAATCAATGCACTAATTTTGTATAGATAAACTAAACATGCCAAAATTGAATAAAGAAACCATGCTATTTGGTTACACTAACGGAAACCAAAAAAATGTGAACAAGATATAGTTCTTCAGTATATCAAAATGTATATTTTTACATGTCAAAACAATAGTAACAATGCTATCTTTTGCTGGAGCAATAAGTTATATTTCATATGTTCTTAAGGTAAATTAAGCAAACTTTATCAAATGTGGGTATCTTGACCAGTTTTAGAAAGACTTGGATTTAAATACATGTCAATACTCAAAGTAATAATAGTTTCCTACCCAGTTTTTTCCTATTCTGACAGTGATAATATGAATTAGCAAAATATATTTGATATGTGGATGTTTGGAGCGGCCGTTGTCATCTAGCATTGAGTATACTTTTAATTACTAAGAATAAATTCATATTGAAGTATATTTCTGCACTGGTCAAAAGTGTATCTTTGATGTTTTGTTGTGTTATATTGTTTTCTTTTGTAAATATTCCTTTCATTATCTCTTCTATCCTCAGACCTGGCAACTTACCCCATTTAGTAATGTAACTTAAAAAGTTGCTATGAGTACCCCAAATAAATTGTGCCCCGTAAAAACTGTTTTGTAGTGATATTTTCTACTTTTTTACCTTATGACCTCCTTGACATATTTATTTTTTCTAATAAATGTGTGCAGTGTTTTACATATGATATTTCTATGTCAAATTATAATACTTTTTATTTTTATGCTTTTGATAGTAATCCATTGAAAATTTCACAGTGAAAATGATCAGAATATAATTTCACACTTTTCAATGAACAGACTACTTTTAAAAGAAGATTTTCTGCATGTGGTACATGTACCTCTCTTTTGTTTGTGCTTAACATTCCGACATTGTCAGGGTTGTTTAGAGAAAAGCAAAGCTGAAATTAATAATTAATTTAATTTTCAAACGTTCTAAAAAGATAAAACCTTCTTCACCATTGGCCATATATCGTCTCTAAGTTTTGATTTCATTTAAACAGTCTGAAAAATAAACTTCCTTCCACATGACATTTCGGCATATTTTAGTATCCTATGAGCAATAACTGTAATGCAATGTGAAAAGCAATGACAGTCACCACCCCCAAAAGATAAGTTAACAACCCAACGTTCATAAGACAGCCTTAAAAAATCCATGTTTTCCAAATTCTACATGCCATTATTAAGATTTATTCTTAATTTCCATCAAATATTTTAGTTCTTTTATGAAAAATAGACTCTTAAGTGCAATAGTTACAGTGGCGTCAACTGGATTTGGACATTGGATTGTTAACTTTTACCTGTTATCTCTTACAGTGGATTTAGGAGGGATTTCCCCTCCTAAAGACTTAAAATCTTTTAAATGACGCTTTTCCCACACTTTCTAATGATTTTATGATAGCGTTTTAAAAATTATTAACGGTATTCTTCATATTTTGTTTACTTATGATTTACGTTATCGAGTTGCTCACGAAAATAATGCTCAGTGAACTTATTTTGTTATTGGAGCGTTCTTTTAAAAAACATTTTTCAAGCACTCGTCGTACTTTGGAAAAGTTTATCCAGCAAGATGGTATCTCCAAAAAACTGAAGGGTGGGGTATATTTGAGGGTAAAAAGTAACTGTTCAAGGTCCATAACTCCAACATGGATTTTATCATAATCTTTTTATCATCGAAAAATATACATTACTACGGCTCTCATTTTACTTTCAAGCACGGAAAGTCGAGCAAGTTGTCCAACTGACACTCTTATTATGAATATGCTTTAGAAATGCTTTTATTTTTATTTATCGAAAATTTATTTATTTTCGGTGATTTGTGATTTTTTCCAAAAGATTACTTATGGGCCAATAACTTAAACCATCTTTTCCTTATATTAGTTATAAAAGAAGGTAAAAATAGAAATATTGAAAGAAACCAACAATTCTGTACAAAATGCAATATGAAACAAATTGAAACTGAAATTGAAAATCTTTTTTATTGGTATATGTATGTCCATGTTTACCTAGATAATATTGCTCATGACCTACCCAGATAAATTCATATCAATAAAAAATGTACAAACAAAATTGTAATTGTTGACTTAGCAAAATATCTTTAATCAGCAATGCAACTATGAATTGAATCTACTTAAAACATTTGTTCGAATTATTGTACACTGAAACATATGTAGATTTTATATTTATAAGTTTTAATGTTAAATTCATAATGTATAATTCATAATGTATCTTACTGTTCTCTACATATACTACTCAAAATTTGCTAAGAATCACTTTTTCTACAGTGCGTTACTTTTGTGTAATTGTAATAAATGTGAAAATTGATTAAAAGGAATTAAGTATAATTAGTTAGGTTAGAGTTAGGTGTACATGACAAATCGATAACTTAAGTACACACGATTTTGAGGTCCCCAAGGTGTATCGTTAGCGGAAATATGATTTCAATATGATGATTATAGGACTGAAATATGCAATGTCAAAAAGGTGATCCGTAGCATATTTTGTGTATATATTGTACCGTCAAGATGCTACTTGGCGAGGACATATATATGTTTTTACCAGTAAATAAATTATGTGACTTTTTGACTTGACTTCTATCATTTTGGCAATAAATGAAATTATGGTGATCCAGTATTTTGTAATTGGAACTCAAAATACTATTTTGTTTACATTTTCCTACTTTAGGACAAATAATTTCATATTACGTCCTACTTTTTTCCTGGTATCAGCAGCGAAAATGATATAAAATCATTCAATCGCTATAAAACTTATGTAAGCCCTTCCTAACGAAGGGTAACATTATTGGTTTCTCAGGCATTATGTGCCTTTAAACAAGCAAAAAATGCATTGATATTAATACCACATAATATCCATCTTGTTCAACAATTTATGTCAAGATCTTGCTGCGAGTTCTATCTGCATGTATTTCGATGACTGATACTTCATACCATTACGAAAATGAATAAATTATGTTGCTTCAATACTTGAACAGCGCGGTAGGAAGTTTATAAAAAGCCCATTAGCTAGTCTATTAATATTCTACTATTCATATTGCAAATGGTAATACCGACAGGAAAAAAAATATAAACGCTTGTTCTGTCAGAGAAAGACGGTTGGAACTACATTGTATTTGCAAATGCATTTGCTAATTCGGATGACCTTAGTTCAGGTATATTGTGCTGGCAATGTCAAACAGGGTATACTGCATGATTTGAAAATTATGGTTTAAATATTGACAGGTGATCCTATAATAATAAGTAATTTGAAACCTGCAGCGGTTCAAATTAATACAGCACACATGAAATTGATACAGAGTGACGGGCAAAATAGGCTGTAACGTAATACAAAGTAAGTCCCTAAATGGGCATTTACAATGCTGGACGTAACTCTTTTCGTTGGATATTTGTGACGCTTATATAGTTTAAAAAAAAACACCACTGCTGTCAATTTTATATAGTACACACACGGCTGTCGTCACTTTAACAAGAAATTATTTTTTTCTCTCTGAATGATTCGATGAAGTCGTTATAAATAAAAAAATGTACCTAATTATATACATGTAAAATGAGCAGCTCACATTACAAGACGACACGGCCATACATAGGAAATATAGGTCTGCTTCACTTTTAATAAACATTCCTGGTAAGTAAAGCAATGTTACACCGCACTTTGGGGGTCAAACATACTGTTGGACCCCAAAATGCGGTAAACTGCACAGCACACTTTGTTATTGATCCCAAAGTGTGTTAATATGCTAATTATCAAAGTACTTTGGGTTCCAGAGTTCTGAACGTTTCGACCGAGTTGTTACTTATTTTTGATCTGCAACCTAGAAATATTTAAGTGAGTTCAATAATATGACTGTCAATGCTTAGGTATATCACTGGGCAATCTTAATAAGTGCCATTTAAATTCTGATGTAGCAGTAATGAAATATTTTATTATATATTAGTTGCTTAAGTGGTAAATGTTTTATGAGTTTTACTACTTTAAATACGATATATTTTTCTCCGTGTTGAATATACCTCACCTACAAAAAGCACTGATAAACAAGAGAAACTGAGATAAAAAAAAACACAACAAAAACAATTAAATCTTGCTATAAATGAGAAAATTCAGCATCCGCCTGCTGTCTCACTTCCCACTTCCCCTCGGAGCGTGCACGTCGCTGAGAAGGCAAAGGGCATCGGCAGAAGATTTACAGCTTGGCTGGTAGCAAACACAACTCAACTAAATAGAAGCCCCCCGTAGGCTGTAACAACGGGATCGCTACTTCGTCAACAACTGCGGACCAGCTGCCGGTGTCCTGACAAATGCCGAGAGGGGAGTGGCCCTACAAGTAGGCTGAGACGACGAGGATGGTGTGCTAGGGTGCGTGAGCCTTTAGTACAGATAGACGGCTTGTAAGGCTGGCCTTTTGCTGGCACCAACAGCCCTTTTCAGGGCTAACCTTTCATATTGTCACAAGTTACTGTACATTTAGGATCTCATTGACCGCCGTACAGTGACCTTCTTTTGGCTCAAAATTCATATCTTTGGCTAATACCCCGTGGAAATTGCATGGAGGTAAATTATCACCAATTTGTGCTTCAAAATTAACTCTTTAAGGGCATGACTGGTGACATGTCCGGGGTCCGTACTCGACAGCGAAAAGTTGCATTTTGTGCCCGAAAGGGCGGATGGACCCTCATTAAGCATTAACTACATACAGTCTAACTTGCCCATGCGACCACGTGTATTAAGCGACTTTTGTCTTAAACGACCACTTTAAATTCCCCCCGATAATTTTCTCTCTATATCTTTAATGTATTAAGCGACTTTTGCTCAACGCGACCAGCGACCGCTAATTAGTCACCTAATTGACATCAATCTTTTCATTAAACGACCACTTTTACCTGTCAAGTAATTGTGTTTTTAGAGAACGCCACCTCATTATGTCACAAGTGTCAGCAATCAAAACACAACAATAAACGTGTGAAAAACTCTATTTCCCATACCGTTTTAGCGTATGCAAATCAAGTTAAATATACGCGTGACGTGTATTATCCAATAATATCGGATAAACAATGCAACGCTCCGCCCATACTGAGATGGTGTATACGCTTCGCTTGTTGACATTTAGACTGCATTGAATTGACCTTGAACTTGATCAGCCATTAAATTAATCGTAACAAATAGATGTAGTTTGTTTATTTCAAATGCAAAAATGCACAACAGAAAACATCTTCACTAATAGGGTTTTCGTGTTGGAGACAAGGAAACACAACGGAGAAGTTAAAAAATTCTGGAAAAAATGTCAAACATGTACGTAATGGATCAAAACTGATTTTGTCAATAAATATCAGAACGTTATTTGTACATTTGCATCCGTTTAGATTATCGGAGCGTACTTATTATTCAACATTTATATAAAAATGAAGTTGAAAAACAATTCCATCGAATAAAAAAGATGTCATTTATAAATTTTGACTTTTATATCATGCTGACTGTCTTAAGAGACCGTTTCATTAAGCGACCGTTTTGGTGTTTCCCTTGCCCGGTCGCTTAATACACGTTTGACTGTACATACCGCCTGCTGGCTAGCAAATCGCTTATCTACGGTGTCCTGATCGTGCCAGTTATAATGTCGTCTGTCGTGTTAATGCGTCTACACACGACAATGTGAAGTAACATCACGACGAAAATAATATATCGTCCTTTTTTGAAACTTTCGTTTGGAATTGTCCACAGACACGTGGGGTTATGTGAGTCGCTCCCTTTCGTATACATCACAACTAAATTAACCTAGAATACCGCTTATTTGACCACGTTTAAAACTCCCTAAAATGTCATAAAGTGGGTAAAAGAAATGGCCTTTTTAAAATGAAACAAAATCCTGTAAAAAATTGTTAAACTGGTATGTACATAAGTCTGTTATCTCTATCCTTTTCATTAACATTGTATTGCGTGTAATCATGGGAAGTAATCCATAGTACTATGCAAACTGCAAATATTTACCTTACACCCCTTGTGCTTATAATATAAAGGATTAAAACTTTGTCATTCATTGTACTGTAACCATAAAATAACGGGGGTTTATAACGTTTTATCACACACCCGTGCCGATTTTGCGACTCCGTAAATATGGTATTGCACGGCCGTGCATATATTTTGACGTGACGTCATTAGCGTAATACAAACATAGTGTAAAGACGCGCTAAATGTTAGCGTTATACTATAGGCGCGTCAATGAAAAATGACTCTTATTTCACTTTAAATGGTCTTTATTTTGGGTATGTGATAAATAGAATATTAAATTCGTGTAAGTTCATTACTGAATTTATTGCACTCGTTGAATAAAATAATATTATGCTGGCCAGAGGCTCGCATAATATAATTTTATTCAACTCGTGCAATAAATTCAGTATTGAACTTACACTCATTCAATATCCTCTATGTACTACACCCCTGTCACACACCGAAAGTATGTGATCATATCAACAATGTAATTTGTGATTTAAAAATGAAACTCATAATGAACTTTTCAGGAAATAAACCGGAACCTTACTATATAGTTAAAGTAGACTTTTCCGATAACAGTTTTGACAATCCAACAATACGCATGCGCAATGAAACACGAAAGCAGTTTCATACCGCATATGAACAGGATTTCTCTTTTTTCAAGTAATTAAAATTGTGAATTTGAAATGGCAATTTTGTTTTAAATTATCAATTATACAACTGTTTATTGTGGAAACAAAACAAAATCTGTTCTAAGTAAGTGACTTTTTGCAAATACTATTTCTCCATCCAACAAATTACGATTCATTTCTAAAGAATTCTATTTATCAATGTCCCCAACTTAAACTGAACTAACTCTCGTATTACGTCTCAGTTCATTTTTACCGTCATGCAATTCTTGTATTTCTATTATTGTGAATGTCGTTGTAGCTCAAAGAAAAAAATTTAAGTATCTGTAGTTTATTCAAATCGAAATTTGAACAGAAAGTTAATAAATGACAACGTTTTATTGATACGAAATACCCGAACCGAATACGCTACGGCCAGTAATTCTGTATGGGGCAGGGGACATATTCGAATGATGGCCCCGGGTCAAATTTTTTAATAACTCAGACATGGTGTTTTGAAGGTACTGATAACTTCTGATATTTCTCTGTCATTGTAATTCTTTTATGTTTGTGTGTAGGAAATGAGCAGTATTTTTGGGTTTTAGCTTTGACAGTTGGCACCAAACAAGTAAGAAACTTTGGATAAATTTTTGTGAAAAATCTAAACGTATGACAGACATTTTATTGGTCATTTTTGAAAATGCCATGGTTTGCACTGCGTGTTACTGATATTTTTAAAGGAATCGGGCGGATTCTGGAGTATGCTGCACCTTCATGAAGATTGCCCATATTGGTATATTTTAGGTGTGATTTTGGCTGGGTGGGGGTAAATATTAATTGCTGTCAGTTTTTTTTGAAGGAGCAATGCATGCAAACTATTATTTTCTTCAATGTATGTCATATATCATTGAATAATGCTGTGCAACTGGTTATCTGCCTTTGAAACATATTTTGAAATATTTGGAATTGTGTTTCTGGTCACACTGAAATACAAAATTTTTCATTTTTAGGTCCCCTGCCCCCTTAAGGAGAAATCACTGCGTGGGAGAATGCAGATTTGCAACACCTTTGGAAATAACGAAAAAAAACCTGAAACCCGAAAAAGAACCAAAAGAAAGCTTTTTTAATCTAAAATACTTTGACAAACATTTATTATAAACAAATCATTCAATCGTTAGCGATTATATAAATACTTCATAAATATGTCAAATAAATGAAAATTATAAACTTTGTATCCATTTCACATAATAACTGATAATGCCGGATAAGTTCGTTTTTCTTGTGTGCTTTTCGCTATAAGTACCCGAGATCATGGCCGTACTTGTAAGTGGTGGTCTCGTTAATGTTTGATAAAATTTATAACTTGTTAAAGCAGCATCAAATAATCTGTAGGTGGATGTGTGGTAATATAGAAGTTGAGTAGGCATTATATATCTGAAATTTAATTTGTTAGTAATTTAAGAACTGACCAATGAAATGTTTTCAAGATTTCAAGATTTATTCAATACTGTCATTGTTCATAGGAACCTGTGACATAAAATACAAAATTGTGAACATGTATGAACCGGAATACAGAAAAATATACATAAAAGCAGGAGAATGAGTGACAATTATCTTGTACCCGTAAAATAAAATGAAGATATGACTACATTTTTAATAATAACCGGAATCTATGCTTCATTAACAATTTTTTTCTAGGAGACTATTGATAAGGTCAATAGTTTATAAGATTATATAATGTTGGATATAGACTATAAGATCTTCAAATTTGAATGCATTAGGATACTTATAATAATGTGGTCTTATAAATTTACGTCTATTATTAACAAAACAAAATGTAAATAATAAAAAAGTTAGTGAAATTAATCACCCGGTTGGTTTGATTCACATAAAGTATATATACGTAAGTTTCTCTCTATATTTAGGAATCTACATTTCACAATTGACATTTTATGATTTATACATCTTAATTTTAACAAAGATGAAGACAGTTGCCAAGGAAATATAAGATGATTTAGATTTATATTTAGATTTTATTCAAATATACATAAAACAGGAGAATGAGTGACAATTATATTGTACCCATAAAATAAGAAAAAAAAGATATGACTAGATTCTCAATAATAACCGGAATTTATGCTTCAACGACAAAATTTCTAGGAGACTAATGATATAATATTATACTTTTTATTTGCATGTTGTAATTATTTCTTTACAAAATAAAGGTTACACATAGGAAATATAGGCCTGTTATTTGAGCAAATACAATCTGTAGTTATTTAGCAAGGTTTTTTAAATGTGACTTGTTTTTACTATTCATAAGATCTTCAAATTTCAATGCATTAGGATACCTATAATAATACGGTTTAATAAATTTACGTCTACTATTAACAAAATGTGAACAATAAAAGAGATAGTGAAATTCGCCACCCAGTTGGATTGACTCACATAAAGTATATATACGTAAATTTCTCTCTATATTTAGGAATCTACCTTTCTCAATTGGCATTTAATGATTTATACATCTTAATTTTAACAAGGCTGAAGACTGTTGCCAAGGAAGTATGTTAAAATAATCTTCGAATACAAACTCTGAGTTATATTAACGGTAGTAAAAAAATTGCTTTAAAGATTGGACATCACTGTTCCAACTTTGGATGAACTAATCTCGAAGTCTGCTTTTGAAATTAAACGGACTAGGTACAAATTGACTTAACCAATCATTTGATAAACCAAGTCCGTCCAAAGTATCCCTAACAAAATAAAGCCACGGTAATTCAGTTCTATATCTAACATATACTGAGTATGCAGTCTTATTAAAATATTACAAATCTTATCATATTTACCATTCCAAGCTTACACCAGTAGTTAATAATTCTACTTTTTATTTGCAAAGATATCGGAGTAACTCCAAGTTCACTATATAACATACAATTGGGAGTACTTTGCTTGAGGTTTAGTATAATTTTGTAAAATTTAAGCTGAAACTGATTAATACACTTTAAATTTTCTATTCCCAAACTTCAGAGCCATAACAAAGAATAGGAACAATCATTGTTTTAAACATGCGGATCTGTAGATCTACAGATACTAACAATTTTCTAGCTTTTTTACCAGAGAGAACATAGCTTTCTTCGCTTGATCAATAAGACGTTTTCTAGTTTAACAAATTTACCATTTTCTATAAATTAAATACCTAGATAAGAAAATATGTACTAATTCTAAGTTCTCATTATCAAAAGAAAATTGACGTGCATCACCCATACGATTCCTGCCCCTAGAAAATATTACAACATTTGTTTTTGCAGAGTTCTCCTTTACATTTATTCAGTTCTTTCCTGTAAATTTTACAGCCAGTCAAACAGAAAACAAACCGGCCTTCGCCCGGAAGAAAATTGCATGACACTAAAAATGAACTGAGACGAAAGAAAATGAATACGAAATAAATTGTTTTGTTTGTAGTTCTTATCTACTTCTTCTTTACTTATGAAGGATTAACTTCAGACTTTACATTTTGTTTCTATTTAAAATACTTTGCTTGTGCAAACATATGCATAAGATTTTAGTATTTCAAAAATTTAAAAGTAAAATTCAATAAATGGCACAATATCATATTCCTTATGATTCTTTTTCCATGTTTCCAAAGATACGATATACAAATAAACCAGTTTTTGTTGTTTTGCTTTCTTCTTAGACAACAATTTTCATAATCATCACCCCCCCTCCCTCAGAATATCAATGTTATCAAGACTAATTTATTTGTTATTAACCTTTACATTAGTTGGTTAACCATGTTAATTAATGCGATATCTGTATATTTTCAGCTATGACAATCTGCATACGGTGTTTGAACATATCGTAAATCTTTTCTATTTAAACTCATAGGTAGGCAACAAGAAAACCAGACACGCTATCAATAATTCAAGAAGATGGAAAATTTAGATGGAAAAATGGACATTGAAACAACATCGTCAGAGGAGTACATTCCTAATATTTGCGAACACTGTGACAGTGATGGAAAGCGTGCTGAAGCCGATGGGTTTTGCGTTGATTGTAGTGAATATTTGTGTAACTGCTGTTTGTCGTGCCATGCTAAGTATAAGCCTGAACATTCAACTAAAAGTAGGGATGAAATGCCCATAGATGTACGTTTTGAAAAATGTTTGAAGCATGATATGAAACAAATGAAGTATTATTGCATAGAATGTAATAACGTCGCATGCGAAAAATGTATAACAAATGAAGGTTGTTATCACGAAGACGGATGTCAAAGTAAAAAATGGACATCGCTTTACAAAGTTGCTTTGGAAAACAAGGTATCGAAAACACAAGTTGACACAAAAATTGCTGAAGCAACTGATAAACTGGCAAACATTGAAGACACAATCGATAAACTAACGACAAAAAGGAAAGATAAAATTCGAGAATCTATAAAACAACACAGACAAAACATGGAAGGTAAGATCAAAGAGGTTGAAAGTCATTTCCTAAAGAAATGTGATGAGATTGAAAACACGTTTGAACCGTCGATAGATTCTCTGTCATGCAACGTTCAGTCTATGAAAACTATGTTACGTTCCGTGGTGTCTCAATCGGACAACTGCTGCTCAAACTTTATTGCCGTCAAAAACATAGATCAAAGTATTGCTCCCGTCGAGAAGGGTCTTGAATGCTTAAAGAACCAAACGGAGATTATGGCATACGAATTCAAAGCAAACCAAAGCCGCATAGTTGACAAATCCGACTTTGGAAACATATTGTTCTCAGAAACTTTCCAGACAAAAACAGCTTGTTATAAGAACGATATTGATGTTAATCTATACTATAGCTGGATTTACCCTACAAATATGAGTGATTTATTAATCAAAGATGATCTACTCGTTGTTATATCATACATGTGCAGTGCCATTGTGTTGGTTGACCCCATCAAGCAGAATGTTTTATCAAAATTTTTTATGTCATCAAGTCCAAAGAGTGCAATATCCATAAATGGGACTGGAATAGCAGTAGCTCTACCACTTGATGGGAAAATTAAACTGTATGACATTATTAAGTCAGAATTTGTCGATAGAAAAAAAGACATTGAAGTTGGAAAGGATTGCTGCAGTCTGGCATACAGCAAAAGTCAATGTTATTTGTATGTGTCATATTAAAGAACCTACAAGCAAAATTACATACTAAATGAAACTGGTAAAGTAGTTCGCCTTGTTGGATAAAGACTGTTTGGGAAATATAGTTGTTTATGGATCCACGGTTTATAATTCTAAGCTTAGACGAAGAATCGCTCTATGTTCTGACGCACAAAAGAAATGCGGCTGAATCAAAATACATTCTGAATCGGTAGAATTGGAGCTGTGTTTAAGACGAGGAATTAAAAATGTCCAGAGGATTAGCAATAAATGAGAACATGGAACGATTTTTTGTTGCTGGCATGAATTCAAACAATTTTTCAATTTAACATCGAAACTTTTTGATAAAAAATAGGAATCCTCGTTGGATCGAAAGATGTATATAGGTCCTTTGAGTATCGCAATTGATAACCATACAGAGAAGGGATGTTCTACGTGGGTATCGAGAAAAAAATACTAAAATAAAAACATTCCAAATCAGATGCATTACAAGAAACTATCTTTTAATAATGGCAATCAAAAGCACAAAACAAAGATATGCTAATAGAGTCCGTAATTAAGAGAGTTGGTTACGGAAGGTCGGCGTTTTAGCGAGCACGTAAACAGTGTTAATGAAGTTCAAAATTTATTTTTGTTAAGTTCGCTTTAGGTACCATTTTAGTATAAACTTATCATGCTCGTTAAACTTAAAGAATGAAAAATTAAACGACCATGTCACAGACAATGGCACATGTTTAATTTATGGAAGGGACGTCGTGTGTACCTGCAAATATGTTAACTAGTGGTAACAGTTTTATAATGTTTGTATATGTGAGACCTTATAAGAGAGAAATATATATCGACATCTTTAAGTTAACAAAAATAATATAATACTACTTATTTGTTGGAACATAATGTTACAGTTACGTATGGAGTAAATATCTTTCTAAAAATCTGGAAACAAGTAAGTGATCCGCTCGGAAGCATTAATCACAACAAAATTACATAAGAACTTGCAGACTCGGTTTTGATTGAGTTTTCCTTATTTCAGTGAATTTATTGCATCATTTTTTTACCGAGTTTTTGTAGACTACTATGGACTTAAAACGCTTTATTTACATGAACACTTATTTACAATCTTTTTATTTTTTTATTTTGGGGAGAAATTTCCTTGCTAGAAATTTCAAATGAACATATTGAAATTATTTATAAATATAATTATCAAATCGCTCATTGTTTAATTTGCCCGAAAATGGTCCCTGTACAAACAACTAACGGATTTACAAGTTGCTTCTGAAAAACGACGCGAATAATTAAAAAATAATTTATTTCTCCCATTCATATTTTTCGGTCAAGTTGCGATAAATACATAATTGTAACATTCGTTTTTACGCCCGATCAAAATAATTTTGTCGTGTGTTGGTATATATGATTAAAAAGCGCTAAATGAACTTAATCCAGAATTGCATAAATCTAGTGATTTAAATTGAAGAAGTTTATATGTTACAGGTTTTATTTAAGCATAGTCACGCAACCCCGTAAAGCAAAAGGAGATTAAATTGATAATAAATGACCATGAGCTATTCTTATCAACTAAAGAACTAGACATGCCCTGAAATGCATCCGCACGGCAGTCCCATTATATTCTAGTGATAAACTTTGCTTGCATTCATTTATTGTATGCCCTTGCAATATATATACATGTAACATTATTTAGAATTATAAGAAAAAACGAGCCACAACAAATTAAGCTATGTTAAGCAAAATAACATCCTTTTGATTGGATTTAAGGGTATTACACAACAAAGTGTATAATTCTTTATGCTGTTACACATATACATTGATATTAGTTTGATAAAAAAACTAACAAAATGAATAATAATTTACAAATATGGAAAATAGGTGGCCCAGTATAACTAAATCTTTCGTTTAAAAAGGCTAATTTATAATGTTACAAAGGACCATAATCCAATAACACATTGAACTTCAGTGAAATTTTAAATCATTTCTTTATTGAAATACATATTCAGGCCAATAAAATCAAACCGAGACTGACAATTTTTATTGAAAGAACCTATTTTAAATTTTCAAGAGCACTATCATTCTATAATATATCAAATTCAAGAATCAGATTTTGACAGTAATTTGATGAGTTGAGTTTTAACCATATTACAATATACATTCATGTTGTATTTTCATTACATTCCCATTAACTACTCTCTAACTTTCCTTATAAATGTATTTTCACTAGTAAAAAGGCAATAACTCAAAGTTATCAAGTGAAGAGGTACATTTCCTATATATTGCATCAAATTATAAGTATAACGCTAATAATAACTAAAATATGTTCCTTTCAAAGTGTGATGGACAAAAGTAGAAAACATATTTAGAGTACATGATTTTTTTTATTTACATTTATGTGGCCTTTTCTCAACATGATATCGTGAAAATTTCTACTATAACCAATTAATTGGTCTATAATGTATCCTTCTTTTGAACTAAAATTATGAACGTAATGAGCCTAATAAAAAGTATATCGGTGGTTTTGTATTTGATATCTTATAGATAGTAAGCCTTAAAGTATTGTATTACTTTTTTAGGATTGTTGCAGAGATCCAGGGGAATGGTGGGCGGGGTGTCTGCCACCTCTGATTCCCATGTGAACACGTCTGTGCCCACTACCTCCCATGGACTGTCTGGGATAGGGTGACTTTTTAGAGGCTCTTTAGTGTTTTAATGTCTGTGTAAGGGCCCGTCTACACCTATCCAAGTCTTGAATGCAAGTATCATATTCTCTTGTATCGGATAGTGTAGACACCCTACTTGAATGAGTTTTAAAGAGAAATTATGTGACATCCAAGAAGATAATTCCTTGCAAGAAAGTTAGAACACATTCTATTTTTCTACAAGTTTTTGGCTGTCAAGACACTGATAACACCGGTTTGACACAAAACATGTGCCCGAAGGTTTGATAGTGCTGTTATTTTTTATTATTTTCTGACTTTTTTGTTGTTGATTCAGTGTACATGCCCTTTTGAATTTCAGTAAATGATTACAATGTCTTGGTCAAAGGAACAAACCAATACGCTGATACACAGAAGAGCAAAAAAACATAAATAAATAAAAATAATTTACATTGTAAAAAAATAAAAAAGAGCTCTTTTTCAAGTAGAGTCAAAATGGATTTAAAATGATCTTGTTCATTTAATGAATAACTTTCATCAAATAAAGAATTTGCATCAAAATAATTTTTTGTCACATTTTTTCAATTTTAAAAAAGAATGAACGCATTTCATTTACTCCATTCTGTTTTAGCTAATTGCATCATTTTCCCGCTTTTTTCACATATTTTACAGAAACATGATAGTCTTGCAAAGACAAAGGTATAAATCCTGGGCTATCTTAATGAGACATTTAAGTAAAAATTGTGCCTGAAAAAATGTTGAAAGGGCCATTTATTTAGCTTATCTAAATGTGACATGTAAGAAACTTGAATAGGTGTAGACACGGCCTAACATTATATCACCTGCTCGTTGCAAGTATTTTTAACGCCGCCGATATGACCTACATGAACAGCCTTTATCATTTCCTGCCTAACTTAGGGCGCGTCTACACACAATCAAGTATTGAATGCCAGTACAATATTCTTGTACTTTAAATAATGCAAATCATTTTTAATGAGAAATTAAAGATAATTCCTTGCGAGGAAACTTAGAACACGTTCTATTTTTCTACAAGGTTTTGGCTGACATGACACTGATAACAACGGTTTGACACAAAACATGTGCCCTGATGGTGTGATAGTGTTGTTATTCTTGGCGTCCGCGCCAAAGCGCGGCGCCAATCAGATTTTGTGACAGGGCGGCAGCAACTTCTCGGGCCTTTTCGTCGGTCATTCCGATTGGTATGAGGGTGTTTGATTATCAAAAATGAAATGTCGCGAACAATGAATAGCGAACTGGAGAATTTCGCAATGCAAACATATTCAAATGAAATTATCCGTCAATTAATCGCGCTCTTCGGGGTTTTTTTTATTAATCATTTTGTAGTACACACAGTGGGTTATTGTGTATAGCTGCGCCTATAAATAGAATGATGACCTTAACATTGTGAAAATCCGAAAATCTATTTATAAAAGTACATTTAGTGTAGCGCTATGGTTATAAATAACGAACTGGAGAATTTTGCAGGAAATGAAATATGAAAAATGAAACATATTCAAACAACTAATTGCACTTTGGATATTATAGACCTGAATTTTTTTGATATTATCGTTAATATTGATAGAATATCAAGTTATTGTAGAAAAAAATAATATTATAATCTCTAGCATGTCTACCAAAGTTCATGATGAACAATGTCTTTCGTCAGCCCATTCATAAATATTATACAATTCTGGTAAAAACCAATTAACCATTGAAAAGTTTATAAGAATATCTGGTCATCAGATGTCTACTAGTCAATTTTCACTTGCTGCATTTCTTGCATGGGCGCCATTTGATGCTTTGCATCAATGCTTTCCTTGTTACTGTTATATGTGTAAGAGTTTACAAAGTTACCAAACTCTTCCCCATATAACTGCAAATTGGCTCTTACAGATAAAAATAGAGAAAGTGTCAGCTCTTTAATTAAGCATAACATTCTTTTTCCCAAACAGTCACGTCCTTAGGTCTACAGGTGGATGGCGTCAAATTATTTTAACTAGCATATAAAACAATGAGTATCCACATCTTCATCATAGTCCCTCCCATTGAATTGATCCCCTCCCAATTGATCCCTTACATACTTTACTCACTAAAAAAAAATTCTCAATGAGTAATGCTTGAAACATCTCCATTTTTTTTTTAAAGACTATAATTGTCACAGGGCGAGATTAATGTGCAACCCGATCGAGACTCAAACTTGGGAGCCCCTCGGAATGCCTTACTGTGACTTTACTTACTGAGCTATCCGGCCGCCTGCAAACTTCCTCTCCTGATTAGTGAACAGTTCAATACCGTGACATAATCATTTTCTGAATAATTTGGGATTCGAACATACCACAACTTTGGGTCTCCT